ACGAAGGAGAGAGAGTGAAAAGTCTCTGGAAAATGAAACGTTCAATAAGGAGGAAGACTGTCACTCTCCAACTTCCAAGCCCCCCAAACTGGATCAACCTCTAAAAGTCATGCCAGCCCCTCCGCCAAAGGAGAATGCCTGGGTGAAGCGAAGTGCAAACCCTCCTGCTCGGTCTCCGAGCTCAGACACCGAGCAGCAGTCACCGACAAGGTGAGTCTGCACGCTCTGGTGTCAGCTAGAACATTCCCGTAGTAGAGTGACATTGTGGAGTAGTTTACGTAGCTGGTTAAGATCACGTGGGAGCTTGAAACGAGCCATGATGGGGGATCTGCATCACGGACTGTGGAAGCACCATCAGCCAAAGCCAGGGCCAGTTTGCCTCATCTCTTAAGGCTGGCCGTTGGGCTTGAGTCACTTTTAGGGCCCTCATCTGTAAAACAGTAGCGGTGCAAACCTTCCATGTGACATTCGAGTTACTGCTCTTCTTGTTGTGTCTAATGTTTTAATCTTGCCAGAAGTGAGTGAGTCTCTTACGGGAGAAGCGTTGACTGCGCTGGGAGGGTGGTGATTTCCTGTGTGGTCCCTCCCTGAGACAACTGGTGAGCATGGGCATGTATTTCCTTCTAGTGTTGGAGGGAAGGTGGCTCCAGTTCCACCATCTGAAGAAGGACCAGCAAGGAAAGGTGAGCCCTTTCCCATGTACATGGCGCCTACATAAAATGACAGCAATAGAGACTGTGTGTCTGGGTAGAGTTGATGATTCAAGCCCAGCATCCCCTCTGAGGATGAAGATGAGGCTGTCTACTCCCATAAAGGTTGACAGTCTAGCAGCCTTAGACCCCACGCTTTCAATGAGAAGGCACCAGACTCCCTGTCCTGGCAATGGGCTTGGGTTTTGTTTGCGGTTCTGTGGTTTTTGCCTTTCCTTGCCAACAGAGGGCAGGAGTGAGCTTTTTGGAGCTTTAGCCCCACCCATTCCTGGTAGAGCATTTCTTTGAAAGGGACAGAAAAGGGGAGGGGAGGGCCATTGAGGGAAATTAACATGCTCAGTCCAGATTAGAAATGTCACTGTCAGCCATGCCAAGGTCACCAGAGCATTATCACCCCCATTTCCAGCCTTTTCATGATGATGTAACAGTATGGGGACTTTTCCATGAGATCTAGCTTGGTGGTATGTAATGTAGAGGCCATGGGAGGGAAGTGTTAGGCAAGTTGGGGTGCGTCTCATTTCCTTCAGGGAACACAGGGACACACATTTCTTCAGCTACGGGAGAAGGAAGGGGGCATCTTTGACTTGATGGTGTATATTTTTCTCTCGTGCAGATGAAAAAGTCGATGGGGTGAGTCTCCCTAAAGGCCAAAGTGGGAGCTCGAGCCGTGGCCCAGCAGACGGAGGGAGCAGAGAGGAGTCGGACAGGTGTGTCTTCTGTCACTTGGAACCGTTTGCCGATGTGACTACACGTGTCTGTGTCACTAAGAGTGTCTTGCTGTTCTGTGTACTGCCATATCCCTCCCTGTGAACACTAAAGCCCCTCAGTAGAGACCGTCAGGTTCTGGGCATCCACATCATGACATATCCAGACAGGCGGAGGTCTGACTGGAGGGGCTTATTCAGTGCCTCAGAGGTGGGGGGGTCAGCACATGTGGGTGTGAGCCGCAGCCGCTGCTAAATATGGGCTTTTATGCCTCATCTGCAGGAAAGATGGCAAAAAGGATCAAGACTCCAGATCAGCACCTGAGCCAAAGAAAGCCGAAGAAAATCCAGCCTCCGTAAGTGTCAGGGGCTTCGTTTCTCCCAGCCCACTTGCCTGCTGAAATGCCGCCCTTGAAGGATCCCCATTTGGGCTCTTTCCCATTTGAGGCAAACACAAAGAGTGCTGCAAGATGATGTCATACACGGGGGCTCAGATTCCACCCCTCCGCTCTGTTTTGTTTGGGCAAATTGAAGGTTTATGGCAAACGTGTGTTGATCCTGTCCGTTGACAGCATGTGCTCCCTTCCTGGCTTGGTGTCACATTCTGTAATGCTCTTGCACCCTCCACCGGCTTAGTGTGCACTATGCTATAACTCAGTATGCACGAGTAAACAAGGCGTTTGTGTGGTTTGCTGTATCGCCATGCTTACTCTATAGCAGAGCCTGCAGGACCTCTGAGGTAGGCCCGGGTGTGGCTACAGCAAGAGCAGGCCTGTCTGTAGCCCACCAAGCTTCCGTGGGAAATGGTCATGAGCCTGTGCTGGTGTGTGTGTGGCTGGCTGGGTGGTTTGGCGGTGAGAATTCAAGGCCTATGTTGTTTTGTCCCTCACTTGTTACAGCAGTTCAGTTCTGCAAGCAAGTACGCTGCCCTCTCTGTGGACGGTGATGAGGAAACTGAGGGGGAGGAAGACACCGCATAGACCTCGTCTCTCCA